TCTCTCTCTCTCTCTCTCTCTCTCTCTCTCTCTCTCTCTCTCTCTCTCTCTGTGTGTGTGTGTGTGTGTGTGTGTGTGTGTGTGTGTGTGTGTCGTCATTCATGCTTAACCACAGCCGGGGTTAACGTGGATTATCACTTACAGTATAATCAGTTAGGGGATTCTGCAAACTGTTGAGGGTTCAGCCTCCTGATGAGTCGGTGAAACTCCGATGAAACAGTTTTTCACAGCCCCTTGTTTATTGTCCTCTTCGCCCTCTCTGCCTACGGTTTACTGGGCAGCTCTGTTTGACTAAAGACGATATATATTGTCACAGAACTATTGACTAAGAGCGTAAGCACGTGAAGTAGAAGAAGAAATAAGATGAGCGAAGAAAAGAAAAATGAAAGGACAGACAGGCAAAGAGACAGACAAACCAGAATGACACAAAACAGTGTCCTCTTATTCTTTGTTTCATTGTATTATTATTTCTTTCAGTGTTTTACAAAAAAAAATACACTGAATCAAAGGATAAAAATAAGAAACAAAGACACATTGAAATCATTCAGTTTCTCAGTCTTCTTAACGCCTCCTCCACTGTGCCTCTAACGTACAAGGCTCGCCACGTTGATGGAGTTGAGCGCGAGCTGCCCCCATCCCCGTATGCCATAACAGCCCACTTGCACGCTATGGGAAAGAGGCAGAGTGAAGGAAGAGGTGTTAAACTATAACTTAAACACAAGGAAGAGAGGAGCAGACAAGGAAAACCAATAGGCAGAGGGAGAAAAAATAAAAAATGTTGACACAAACATTTTCTTTCTTTTACTGCATTCTTCTTTCTTTCACAGTTTTGCAGTTTTGGTGAAGAGTCTACCACGTTCGCTTTTCAGCGCACCTGCACTTCCTTCTTCATTTTTCATCCTCATTTTCACCCTTCGGACTTTTCTTTTGAGGGTGTTAGGGTGCCGGGTACAAACAAAGTAAAATGACACAAACTTATGTTCTTCTTTTACTGCATTCTTCACAGTTTTGCAGTGGTAGTGAAGGGTTCCCCACCTTTGCACATTCTTGTACACTCTTTTCAGCGCACCTGCACATTTTTGTCAGGGTGCAAGGTACGTCTAAGTAAGACCCTCACGACAGATAGGACAACTGTCATCCTGGCGATGGGAGCAGCCCTCCCGCTGATCTACAGGACGAAAACCATTCAGGCAAGCAACTTCGTCACAGCAGGAGCCAGGGCGGCTAGCATTAGCCATACCTCTGCAGCATGCACAACAGAGGGCATGCTGGTTGCAGGCCATGACGATTGTGGGGCGTTCACTATCACAGTTAAGTGCACATTCGCTATAGCGCCCGCAGGCACAGATGGGACATACTGCATCTGGATGCAGAGGATGTTCACAATCCGGATACAGGTGGCATCCCTGCCGACAGCGGGCCCGAAAAATTATACGGTTGTAGTGATGTCGACAAAGTCGATGCTTTCCACAACCAAGTGTAACTGTGTCAGTGATCTCACAAAGAAGGAGGTCACAAGGTGTTAGTGCAGCATGTGGGGGAATAAAGACTAACACAGGCACGGTGACAGACATGGAGGTAGGCACGGAAACAGACACAGAAACGGGCATGGAGACAGGAGTGGAGGCAGGCACAGAGACAGGTGCAGAGGCGGGGACGGAAGTACACGTGGTACCCACAGAATCAGTAATCTGGAAAGATACAGACATAGAAACAGGCACAGAGACAGGTACGGAGGCAGGCACAGAGATAGGCGTAGAGGCGGGTATGGAAGTACACGAGGTAGCCAAAGGGTCAAGGACCTGGAATAGTTGCAGGTTAGGGTAATTACCCACGAGATCACAGATGGCAGTAATAGTTTGTACCATAGCATCGCCATTCCATAATTCCCAAGAACCAGAGGTACGGACAAGAGTGGTTTAGCAGCCAGGAGCACGTAGAATATAGGCACAAACATGCGAACAGTTGTCCGGGTCCCACCCAAAGGGGCACGCTGCATATCAAACCGGCGCCTTATCCAAACAATCTCCAAAACAAAGACATTGAATCCCCCATGTCGAGTGTAATTACTATCCTGTGGGGATTGCAGAGTCGGGTTATCGCCATATAACTCACGTTCATGAGCATCAAGATCGGAAGCAATGGCCAAGAAATCAGAGTGAGCTTGTAGGCATATGTTAGTAGCAGCGAGGCCACACAAATTCGGTGGAGGCCGGTCAGGCGGATTTTCTACAGAATCTCCTACAGTCCCCTTGCCAAGTTCATCCTTGGATGGTCCCTCGCCACCATCCCTTCTGTTTTGTGTTTGCCGCGTTGCACAAAGGTCTGCAGTCGAAGAGCGTTGCAGGCGTGGTAAGGATGCTTGGGCGGCAAAAGACGGGGACGGAATGTTGGGGAGGGCCGTGGTGGGGAGAATGAACAGGTTCTTCTTCGTCCAAGAACAGAGGTGGATGAACGGGGAGTAAGCTGAGGTTGGGAAGTAGGTCGAAGTCGGCGTCTAGGACGACAAAGTAGGCTTTCTGCAGGGGCAGAACATGATGACGGAGTCTGTGTGGACGAAGTGGTTTGTGGATTAGGAAGAGGGGTAACAGATGGAGACAAAACCAGGGGAGGTAGGAGTGGTGAAGACGGGTGGTAGAGTAGTCGGAATGTGGGTAACAGACGGTGATAAAACCAGGGGAAATAAAGGCGGTGACGACAGGGGGGGTGAAGTCAGGGGCGGTGAAGTGGCTGAAGCAGAGACAGGGGGGGCAGTCGTAGGTGAGA